GAATGCCCGCACACTGCTTCCACTGATGGCACCCACCAGGGTACTTGGCTTGAGGGTGTCCGACCACTGTCCCGAACTTTCCCGCGTATCTCGCGGCCCGGGGCTCTTATTGCCCCCACAACATGTTAGCATGATGTTCCAAAGCTCGGAATGCACGCCCGCATCTCGTAGAACCACTTTCCCGCCAGCTCGGTCTCGATCGCTGCTCGGTTCAGGATCAGTCATGGCAGGACCAAGGCCTGGCCATGACACTCTCCCCCACTTACTATGTCGATGCCCTCATCGACGCCAAGACCACACCCAACTATCTTGTTGCACACAGCTGACATTTTACTTGTATGTCTCCCGTTTGTGCCCTCAAGGATTGGGTCGAGGTCCCGTCACATGAGGCACCGCCCACAGTACTCGTCCATTGTTGATGTAGATTGGTCCCGTTGCCGCACTCATGCCGCTCAGCTTAGTTCTTGCTCGACCCATCTAACCTTACCCTGGTTGTTCCATATGGGCCATACCATTGCTCATCCCTTGATCATTATCAGGTTGCGACCTCGAGGTGCCCTCATTGATCAATGACCCTCGGTAGAATGAATAACCACCCGCTTTGCCACTCACTTGGTGCGTCCCACCGGACGTGACCCCTCACACCAACTGCACGCTTGTAGCATCAACTCACTGATGCGCCCCTCTGGACGTGGTGCTTAGGTCAACCGCACTCATACGACACCTCACATGATGACCCTAGCACAGTGGCATTCAAGCACTTTGGTCATCTCCTAACTTGGGTCCTCTCGGCCCCTCCAAGGTCACCTCTCTAGGTGTGGCCCTCAGGCCAACCGCCCCCAAGACGGCACCTTACAGTGCGCTAACTCGGTCTTTGCCCCCGACTTGAACACTATGCTCCATCGCCCAAGCTCTTTTATCTTGGCTCAGTCTCACGGGGAATTGACAGGTCTCCCCCACTTTTACTCGAAACTCGACGTAGCATTTAGCACAATCATGTCTCCTTCATGGATCTACTCCTTGTCTGCCTTGACTCTAGCATGGCTCTTATGATATCTCAAAATCCGAACATAGTCAAAGATCCACTGATCCAATAAAACGCCTAGTCCACTGATTTGCTGGACTCGGGGATTCACCCGCTCAATCCTCAAGGTCCACTGACCTGCACGTCTGAGGCCTTGTCAGTTGGTCGTTTCCCTTTGCTTGTTCCACTGGAATACATCCTGTCGTGGCCCACTGACCACCACTACTCGTGAAGCCTTCCCTTTCGGCCAATACAAGTTCGATATTCTGGTTCACACACACACTCTCGTGATCCTCTGACCACAAGAACTCATGGTCCACTGACCAACGCAGCTCATGGTCCACTGACCATCTTGCTTGTGGCTTCAATCTTTTAGCCACTTCATACTTTTCTGTGTAGTAGTCTCATGCTTAGACCCGAATACTTCGGCTTGCACCCCCGCTGGGGCACCTGCACCATACAGCAAGTGCACACATTAGTAATTAATCTTGCAACTCGACACCTCCTGCCCCTCAGGACAAGGTTCGCTCGGCCCACGTGGCCTTACGCAACACCATTTCATAGTGTAAGCCCCTTTTCGCATCTCGGTCTCAATACGGTTCCTTCCACCGTGAAGGCATCACATGCCGCAACATATGCCAACACTTTTTTCTAGGTGAGGCTAGACTCTAGTGCCCTTTTGCTTGGCATCCAAGAGCCTACTTGAGAGTCTTTTCACATAGGCCCAATATTTCCCGCAGCACGCATCGTTGGCTCTTTCCCGAGCCCCCATAGGCACAAAACCCGCATCTGTGTCTCGATAGCTCCGTTTGAGCCTGGCATCACCTCGATTTCGCATCACTAAACCCACACATGGGGTCGCGTAACTCTCGCCACTGAGCCAACCTAGGCTTTGATACCAAAATGTCACGGTCCACGCGTTCCTCCTATTGAAACCACGCGACCGTGCGGCGCCAAGACTAATCTTAGTCAAGGTGAGCCTTCTATTGTGTCCATTTTTTCGCGGACAGACCAATTCCGATCCTTCGAGCCACATGCCCGTTAGCCTTTTCTGGCTTTTGACCCCGTAGGGTTGCTCATTCCGAACTCCATAGAGAGGAACCCATCTCTCATCGCACATCGGCCCACGGTTCTCCAATTAACCATGAGCACCCAGCTCTGGCCGCAAAGCTTAATGCTTCGAGCACCGACCCTCAGATCTCGTAGGGGCACACAGCCCCGGTTCTCATGATGTTATTACATCTTGGCATGGTGAGAACCCAACACCATGCCCGTCCGTATGATACGCAAGCTCCCGTATCAAGTTTACGCAAGCACCTCAATTAAGCTGGTCAGCAGCCAGCTCAGAGCCTTTAGGCTCATCTCGTCCCACGGGACTCAGTTCTTGGGGCTTAGGCCCTTCGCATCAGTATCAGCTGCCCGCACGCATGATTGACATCCCACATCCTGCTAGTCCCGCAAGGGGACTCGGGTGTACTGCCCCAGCAGCAGCACACCAGCCCGACTGGCCACATGGGTCTAGCAGCGTGCCAACCTGCTAGCCCGCACATCCCTCTGGCTCGATGGCATCCCTCCTACGCAACACCATCACATGATCCTTCCGGCTCTAGGAGGGGAAACCGAGGGGCATAACAGATTCTACCATCAAACCCCATGGCTCAACGTAAAGGCGCGATATGAGGTCCGTCGGCCCCAACCGTCCTCGGGTTTACCTTACCCGAGGAAGCATCGTGCCACGCTTGTGCCTACGATGCCGCCACCTAGACACCACGAGTGCCTAGGAGGCTCACTTCAGACTAGCCAGGCCCCCGCCTGCCCGCTAGCCAAGGGGGTGGTGGAGAGCTGACACCAGATCATCCCCCTATAAAGAACGTTAGAGATTTTCCCACTATGCTACCAGTGACCGTAAGAATATTTGAAACGGAGACACTTTTCTGCCCAGCCATCTTAGGGCCTTTCTCCGGCTAACTCAGGGCCCCGTAACCTTCCTCTTGGTCACCATTGCTCCTTGATTCTGCTCATTGCTCCACCAACCCACTCGAAGGTGCCCGCACATGGCTTCGACCGACAGCACCCGTCTGGCTAGCTGGTTCCAGGGCACCGGTGTAATGCCTCATACTTACCTGTTTAACTTGGGGTCTAGGATATGGACCGTCCACCCTCAATGTCCTCAACATATTCCCCTGCTCAGAATGCCCGCACACTGCTTCCACTGATGGCACCCGCCAGGGTACTTGGCTTGAGGGTGTCCGACCACTGTCCCGAACTTCCCCGCGTATCTCGCGGCCCGAGGCTCCCATTGCCCCCACAACATGTTAGCATGATGTTCCAAAGCTCGGAATGCACGCCCGCATATCGTAGAACCACTTTCCCGCCAGCTCGATTTCGATCGCTGCTCGGTTCAGGATCAGTCATGGCAGGACCAAGGCCTGGCCATGACACCTTTCCTGTGTACATACTTTCTCTTCCCAGTTGGGTTGTCCATGGAGATACTGTTTTTTTGCAGCGGCCAACTTTGGAGTCCTTTTGGGTTTGCCTTCTACAATGACCTTGGGCCTGTCTTTTCTTAGTTTAGGTGGTTTTGGCTGAGGTGTCGTTATATAATTGGTTAATCCAAACTATTTTTTTCTTCTTTCGTATTTTATATTTTTTCATATTTTTGCTCTTTCTTTTTTTTTCGTTTTTTCTTTGATTTTTTTCTTTTACACTTTGTTTCCAAATTTTCTTTTCTATTTTAAATAAATAAAAAATGGTATTCATAAAAACTAGTTTTGAATTTTTTTTGAAAAATTAATTTACTTTTTTTGGAAATAATTAGTTTTCTAAATTAATTTTTTTAAAAAAATTTAAGTCTTAACCATAATAATCTATTCTAAATTAAATATTTTTGATTAATTAATTTTGAATTATTAAATTTAAATAGTAATTTTTTCTTAATTTTTAATTGTCTTCTCTTTTACCTCTTTTGTTTTCTTTTTCCTTTTTTATTCTCTTTTTTTTTTCTCTCTTGTCAAGATGGAGAATAAAAGAAAATGAAAGAGAAAAAAAAAAGAAAATAGATAAAAATATATGCTAATAAATTTTTTTGAAAAAATTCCTTTAGGAAAGACCAATTTTTAAAAAATAATTTTAGCTCTCAATCATGTATATTATTTTAAATTTAAATTACAAAAAGAAATAAAAAAATTAAAAAAAATTTGATAAAAATTAAATTTTAAATATGTAGTTTTTTTTAAATATAATTTAATTTTTTAAAATGATTGACTATTTAATCAATAGATAAATTTTAGGAAAGAAAATAAATTTAACTGTTATCTATAGAAATTATCATAGAATATCTATTAATTAGTTAAAAAAATTTAATTACACTTATTTTTTAAATTGAAATATGATTTATCTAATTAATTTCTTTAATAAATTTGTTTATATTTGAATTTTTATTTGGAAGGATATAAGATACAACGTACAATACATGTTGAAACCATAAAAAAAAGTTCTCAAAATTTTTTAAAAAATTTAAAAGAAATTTTTTAAAAAAGGGCATTTTCAAATTTTTATCTCAAATTTTTATCACAGTTGTCATTCATGAAATTTTATATGAACAGAAAAATTCTTAAAAGATCTAGTAAAATTCTAAAAATGGGTGCCAAAAATTTCATTCATTATCAACCTTTATGGATTTTATTTTTCTTTTCCTAAAAAAAAGAATTATTTTTTACTTTTTGTTTCAAAAAGTATATATTGGAAGAGCTCTTTACTATTCAAATTCAAAAACTAAATATATGTATTATTTATTAATAGGCAAGCCTTAAGTTGAGTTCAATGGTGAAATCTTTAATTGATAAAAATATATGATTAAATAAACACTAAAATTAAAAATAAGAAAAATGATTAATTGATAAATATATTATTATAATTATTATTATTAGGCAAGACTTAATTTTTATTTAAGTTGCTGTTTTTATGTAAGAAGTATGATTCCATTAAAAAGAAATTAGAAAAACTCAAAAAGTGACTTTGGAATTTAAACAATTGAAAGCCCTGAATAAACGTTTATTAATACGAAATTAAAAGGATTGGTACAAAGTAGCAACAGAGAAAGAGAAACACATATATCACAATTAACAAATTAAACATAATCATACTCTTTACATTGCACTCTTTTTTACTATAGACATTCCAAATGAACAATGTAGTCACATGCGGGCTCTGGACACTTGAAAGCTAAATCTTCACAATGCTTACCACATTCAGAGCATCTAGGATGGTCATAAATCTTGCTCCGGACAGATGTGAGACGATGTGGATGATACCGAGACTCGTGTGTCCACCCAACCTTGACAAAAGAATATTTCCCAAAAACACAAGTGGGATGAACAGAAGTATCACAAATTCTGCAATGATAAAACCAATGATTTGGATCCCTTTTCTTTTCACAGATATCACAGTAATGTTGTTCTGGATAAACATTTTCATCATGATAAGTAAGCTCCAAGAGATGCTCATCACACTTGTGCCGAGTTGCATGTGGTAAGCTCATGCATTTGAAATCTACAGCATAGTTGCAAGCTTTACATCTATACGCACCATTATAAGCATTATTGACACCACAAGCGTTGCATTGCCCTCGAAATTTAAAATCAAAAGAGAGCAAATGTTTGTGTCCTTGACGTTTGAGTGTATCTGAAAGTATGGCACACCTTAGGCACAAATCCAAATAGCAAAAACCACTGCAGAGGCGATTACATTGCCTACATGTGAAAATTTCCGCTGAAGCGAGGGTAGTGGAATAATTAAAAAACCAAAGATGCTTATTCCTTGATGATTCAGCGCAGGATTTGTGGAGAAGGAAATTGCACTGTGAACAATAATAAAACGAAGAAGTTGAGATGGATAGCATGCACCCGTCGCAACATTTATCATCTTCCTCGTTAATTTTGTCCCCCAATATCAAATCATTCTCATGAAGCAAATGTTTTATCTTTGTAGCTTCTCCTTGTGCATTGACCTCAATAACATCTGTGATGGAAGAATCTGTTGTGTCATCCGACTGCAAAGCTAAATAGTCAATGGACTCCTCATCTTGATCTACTTGATCAATTCTGTCGTAGTACTCATAATCCTCTATTACACAATTCACATGGACAATATATTTACAATCCCCCCTGAAACAATAGTAACTTCCATGCTCTATTTTCACTTCATCTAAACAAATGCCACAATCCTGGCTTTCAAGCTCTTCTTGCTGAAGGGAAAAATGGTGTAAAAGAGGGTGGCCATGCCGTGAAATTTTGACTGCATGTGGTAATGAGGTGCAGTTCTGATGGACTTGGAGGTGACATATAGAACATATATATGAAACATAATTTCCCTCCATACCACATGCATCACAAATGAATGACTCTTGTCTCCATAACAAGGTGAATGGGTGCTTATGACAACTTTCATCTTCTATAACGGGCCTTTGCCAAACACATTTGATATCAATATCAAACTTGCAAAGAGAACAACTATAGGAATATCCTTCGTTGTTCTGTTGGCATAGCTTGCAATAATGATTATTGACATCAAAGTTAAGAATAAGAGGGTGCTGACGATGACAAGGGTGATTAATTTTAAGAGGTAAGTTTACACATTTCTTGTGAAGGTAAAAGTTACAGTCCATGCAAATGTATATAGAATCTACTAATGGTTTTTGACACCAGGAGCAACAAGTTCTTTTGAGTTCATCATGATGGTTTTCAATGAAAATCAATGGATGTTGGTGGGCTTGCTGTTTGACCTTAGGGAATGTTTTACCAAGAATGTTAAGTGAAGCCAAAGCACAGTTGATGTCAATAAAGAAATTGCAATCATAACATTGATAAACAAACATATTACGTTTTTCATTACATAGATGGCAACCATACCTCTTAAAATCGGTTGAATCTGCCTCAAGCAAAAGACGAAAGTGCTCACGGTGGAGAGGGTGTTTGACAATAATCGTAGGTGCCTGGACACATTTCTTATGAAGGTGATACTTGCACTCCGCACAGCTAAAGCTTGGACCTGACACCATTTCCCTACACAGCGAGCAAATAACTTTTTTACTCTGATTGGTTTGCTCTTCAACGTAATGCAATGGGTGATAATGGCTCCAATGTTGAATTGCACTTTCTTTCTTTGACTCCATATTGCAATGAACAAGAGAAAGAAAGATTGGTTGTTGATCATCACCAAGGCCAAGGCTTCAATATATATACATTTTTCTTTTCGGTTTCAAACTTATTGATTCATTTCTTGTATTCATTGACAAGTAAAGAATTAGAACAATTTGTGATCATCCCCAAACACAAGACTTCTTTATACCTTTCTTTAATTTTTCTACAAACTTTTTTTATTTCTTTTCTTAATTGTATATTTCAGACATTATACCTTTCTTTCTTGATTTACAATTTTTTTCTTTACATTTTTAAAATCAATAACCATTGTGCAATTAATTTTTAGATGACCAATTTTTTTGTTAATAAAAAATAATTATTAATTAATATTATAATATACTCAAGTCTGAGTTGGATATGTACAAGGGTGTAGTCTGGCTGATGAGCACCTACAATGAAACGTAATGCAGATTTTATTATTATTATTTTTTAATAAGCAAACCAAATACAATTTCATTATCTGATTCACTTTCCCCCTTACATTTACACAAACATTCATATATAATCTCAATCATAAAATACATGAAAAAAAATAAAAAAATTTTATCAAACATACCATTAGTGAAGTTTTTTTTTTTTTTTTTTAATTCTACAAGCAAAATTAATAAAGTGAGACATATATTTTAGTTTATATTTTAAAAATAAAAAATTAATTTAAAAATATAAGTAGAATGCATGTCACTCCGTTAATTCCACTTGTGAAATTAAAAAACTCCACTGATTATGTATTAAATAATTTCTCAATAATATGTCTACAATCAAGTGGAATAAAATTTTGAGTAATTAATTATTAAACAACTGATTTACTAGTATTTAAAATACAATCAAGTAAAATAAAACCGTGTAATATTTCATGAGTTAAATAATGTAAAATGATAAAAACAATTCGTGATATATGAAAGACAAAATAATAATAAGCTTTTAATCTGTTATTACATGAAATTATGATTATAAACTTTTATTTAATTTTAATTAAAATCTTAAGATTACAAAATATTTCATATTTCATTAAAATCTTTTAGGTTGGCTGATGTAATTTATAAAAATGCTTACTTAGTTGTGATGACTTGGATGAAAAATATTTGGGAGAATGCTATTTTACTAATTCTTGCGATTGGACTTTATTCACCCATATTTCATATTTGATGGGTGTAATTACAATAAAATAAAAGTTTATAGGCTTAATTTCATACAATAAAAAATTTAAGGTTTATTTTATTTTTTATAAAGTTTAAGGACTTATTTAGGTATAATCACTTTAATTTATAAGTAACAAATATGTACAATATATTCTGTAAAAAATATATATATTCCTTTTGATTTACAATTTTTTTTATTTTTTTAAAAAATAATAACCATTGTGAAATTAATTTTTAGAAGACCATTTTTCTTAGGTAATAAAAATAATTATTAATTAATATTATAATATACTTAAGTCGTGTTGAAAATAAGCTCAAAATATCATGCGTAGCCTTGCCTGGGCTCATATTTATGGGTGAGTAGTCCAGCCCATGACTACTTATAGTGAAACCCAATGCAGATTTTGGAGCTTTTTTTTTAACGAGCGAACATGATACAATTTCATTCTCTCATTTACTCTCCCCCTCACAATTATAATAATTTCAGTCGTAATACGCATTAAAACAATATAACCATTAAGAAATCCAATTTTATGACTTTTCACCTCATAACAAATTATAACAAATCCATCTATTTATGGTAACACCTTAGGGTTGAGTTACCTTAAACATAATTTTTTAAATTCAAAGACCTAATCTATAATATTAGTTTATTGATAAAAAATTAATTTTAATTTTATAATATTAAAAATATTACTAATATAAAATTAATTTTTAATATATTTAATAAAATTATAAGTACAAATAAACTAAACCCCAGCCAGTGTTTTACATTTAGGTGTTAACTGGATTTGAATTGATCTGTAGACATTTCTAACCAAAGCTTAACTATACAAAATAGTTAATTACTCCAAGATTACTTAAATTTGTGCCTTATCTAATAAAAAAGTAAAATTCCAAACATTAACTGAGTTAGACAGAGTGAAGCTTGATTGCCAGTTTCAAAGCCCATCGAACTTTAAAATTCTTCTCTAATATACGCTTCAGTGTGGGATAAATCATAAATTAATCTCACTAAAATTAAAATTTGGGATAAAATGATTCATTAAAATAAAAATTTAAGAATCAATTTATAATATAGTAAAATAATTTGGGGTCAATATGTAGTTAATGGAAAATAGATATCACATGAAGAGTAGTTAAGACTAACGAAAATATTAGTGCTATTTATGCACTAGTTTTTTTTTTTTTTAATATTAAAACTAGTTTTGATTTTACCAATTGTGATTGAATTATAAAGAAATAATTTTTTATGGAATCCTTTTTTTTCAAAAATTTTATGGAGTTATTAATATAAGAGAAATTACAATCATATTCAAGTATTGTACATAAAAATCAATGAATTACATTATATAGGCAAATCAATTAAACAATGAACCAATATTTAGTTGGATAAATTTAACATAAAATTTGACTAGACTTGACTTTCCAAGATCTTTTCATTGTTGCTAAGCCAAGGTCTTATTGACAATATATAAAGAACTTTTTAAATAATGAAAAAGTAAAAAAAATTGTTACTTAAACCAATAAGAGATAGCTTGGTGAATAATTATTTGATTATATATATTGGAGAAATGTATTTGATATATTAGGAAGATTTTCAAAATATGAAAACTTTTCAAGACAATTGTCAAAAGATTATTATATTAATGAAGATTTTCTTTTCGATTATTATTCTCTATATCAATGATCAAGTTTTAAAATTCTACAAGAAAGATTAAATGGTTATTGTATGTTTATTTAATAATTAAATAATTTATTATTTTTTAAATACATCTTTATGAATACACATTAACTCTCTAATCACTTATAAAACTTAAAACTCTATTGTCATACAAGATAATAATTTTTTTCTTCTAGATATTTGTGCTTAATTTTTGTAAAGGTATTATTATTTAAAGATTTTGCATGAAAAATTATATTCATATATTTTTATATTTTAAATGATAATATTTTAGTTTTTTTTATACATTTTTATTTTCAATAAAAAAGTAATAATTAATTGAAAAAATAAAGAATATCATGTGTTCCAAACAAAAGAAAGAAAATATAATTTTAAGAAAAATAAATAATATAACGAAAGATCTTCGGCCACCGTGGACGGCAATAGGTCTTTTTTCTTTGGAAGGTAGGAGATAGTATGCGATATACTTGGGCAGTAACCACACTTAGCTTTGCCGTCCTTGCTTATGATTATTCAAAAGTTACACACTGTTGTAATATATCTTTGCAATGTCAAATTGCGTTTTTTAGACCTTCACTTTATTGCAAAATAGAGTGAAGTTTAAATTATCAGTAGCTGATGATGTTTGCTTCTTCCTGCTTACTGGCTTTAGCTCATTTCTCTAATCCTTCTCATTATTTTACCAAATTTCTCTTTAATTTGCAAAATCCTTAAACCAACATCTCTTTTGTGTGCAACTTCTGTGGGATTAAAGCACAGTATTTCATTCTCTTTCTCATTCTTTCATATGATTCTAGAATCTTTTTCCCTTCATTTTTCTATGTTTCTTCCTTCGTTATTCTAAAATACGTGCAAGTAGGATATCTGAACTTTTATCAGCAATTTTCAAATCACCTTTCCTTATCCAATGTTCTCTTTTAACTTTCCAGCTCTGCTTGCATAACTGGCTCATTATAAGTCCAAGTCCAGAAAGCATACCTTCACATATCTGCCACCACGGTGGCACACATCTTATTCTTCTGTTTGTTCCGTTTGTCATCAAAATAACTCATTGGTTGGTTGCATTTCTACCTAATGCGTTGTCCTTTTTCTTTCTTGTTTGATCAAAATTTAAAGAAAAAAGACAAAAGACAAAACCTGGGTTTCTAGTAGGAAATCATTGGCTAGTGTATATGAACTTATTATTTGATTAGTGTGAATGCTGAGACTCATGTAATAGATAAAGTAACAGTTTTTGCTCCATTTCTATATATGTGTGCCTAATGACAAGCTATTGTTTGTTGCATGTAGATATGGTAATTGAATAATTAAAAGTAACATTTCATACCTTTCCAAAAGCAATACTGAATTCCCTCAGTTGAAAGTCCTAGTAGACATGGATTAGTTTTTGTAAGTAACCTTTTTCCTTTATTACTAAAACAAGGCAACAATTTTAGTATTCAAAGGCTTGGTGGGTAATTTCTTACCTTTGAATATTGCTGATACAGATGTTCCAAAGTATACAGTTTCTGGGTAAATTCCATGTCCATTCCCTTGGAACATCCAATGGGTTGAGGCCTGATTCATGATCTGCAAAGACCTGTGAGGTAATAGCAACTTCATTTATAAGCATCTAATTATCAAATAAATTTATACATGCTGGGCAATGTAGGAATCAACAAAATGCCAGTCTTTAAATGCTGAAAGACAATCCATATCTTGTCTAGGCAAGGGTTCTGGTTTCCCAGATTCCACTGGTTCCCCCCTTCTTATGAGTCTTGTAAGAAATTTAGAGTTGGCAATAGCTTAAACATTACCTCATTAACTTGAAAATACGTCCCATTACCTCATTATTATGTTTGATATTTGGTTGCATGATGATGAGGATAATATTCACTTAACCATAGAGCTCTGTTCATAACCTGCTCACATTCTTCAATTTTGGAGTGGGATAGAAGCAGCTTCAGAATTCAAAGCTAATAAAGCATTTGACAAGTCTCCTTTGAGTTCCATCTTTGCCTGCATATAATGCTGTAGGTTTGCTGTGAACTCTTCAATATTGAGTTTTACTGTGGAATTTCATCATGGTCCTCATAGCATGCATCTTCGATGTCACTTTGTGGTTCTTCTGTTTCCTCTGGTTCAGGTGTTGCCGGTTCTTCAATGATAGGTTCATGGTTCCCACAGTTAGGCCCTACTTTAAGCAAGTTTTGCTTTGGTGGAGGCAATGGCATTTGATTGACAACTCTGACAGGGTTTCTCTCAGACTTCTTTGGAACAGTTGAACTT